AAGAAATCTTATATATATATATTATATTATAATATAACGAGTAAAGGCCTATAAATTAAATTTATAATTTTTTTTTAATTAGGGCTATCGAGTAAGTAGGTAAGCGATCTTTAATAAGCGATCTTTGGTGAGCGATATTTGAATTCCTTGCGCTTTAATAATTACAAGACTAAATTTCGAAATTCTTAAAAATTCGAAAAGTATAAATAGCGCTTTAAAATTTAAAAAAAAATCTCAAAGTTTTAATAGAAAATAAAAAAGTAATTCTATGTGTTAATAATGTATATCTATTTTTTTTAATAAGGGAGGCGTGGGAGGGCGAGATTTTGATAGTTACGAACGTTAATTTATTTATTTACGATAAGTTAGCTAGTCTAATTAAAAAGCGTAGCGAATTTAAATTAATAATTAATTATATATATAAATTCAAGATTTTTAAGCTTAGCTCTATCTTATTCTTTTATATATATTAATAAATATATTATATCGTAATATATATCGTTAAGATCTCGAATTTATATTAAAAAAAGATATAATATTTAACTTTATCTTTATTATACTCGAATATAATATAATATTACTTAATATAAAATATTTTATAAAATATATTATATCTTTTTAACTAGTAATTATAAACTTTATAAAAGAAGTATATTAATAATTATTAGCTTTTAACGCTAAAATTTAAAATTTAAAATTTAAATATATTTAATAGAAGAAATATTAAAATTATATATCTTAGTAAATAATTAGATTATAAGAATATAAATAATTTAAAATTATTAAAGCTTTAAATAATTTTATTTATAATTTAAAACTCTCGACTTTTATAAATAATATTTACTTAATCTTTTATTTATAATTATTAGATCTTAATAATAGTAATCTATTATTAGAATAAATCGAACTCTTATTATTATCTATTAATATTAATAAAGAAGATATAATTTAAAATATTAAAGAAATAATTTCTTAATTAATAAGAGAGAATATATAATATATAAAATTTAATATAAAGACTTTAATAGCGAGAAAAACTTCTCTTAATAGTTATTTATAGATATAATATAATATTTAAATCTAATAGTAAACTTTTATTATTATCTTCTCGAGATCGCTAATCTTTATTTATTTTTTAAAAGATCTTTAAATAAAAATTTCTTTATTAATACTATTAATTTATAATAGCTATATCAATTTATAAAAAGATTTTAAATTTATAATAAAATATTAAGCTAATATATTTAAGAATACTTCTTTATATATATCTAGATATAATTTTTATAAGATTAATATCTATTATATAACTATTATTATTATTAAAGCTTTAAATTAAGAAAGAAGATAATATTACGATTTTAATTACTTTATTTATATTATAGTCTAATTAAGCTTAGTATATTAAAGTCTTATAGTTTTTATATTCTATTATAAATTTTATATTTATAATTATTCTATATAGATAATATTCTCTTTATATTATAAAAAAAGATTATTATATATACTCTTAAGTTTCTAATAAAAATAAATAAAAGAGAAATATCGAAGTTTAAATATTAAATTATAAATAGTTAAAGATTAATTTATACTATATAACGAAGCGAAATAAGATTAAATTTTATATATCTAATATTATCTTACTTCGAGATAGAGTCTTAACGAAGTAGAATTTATTACGAGCGTACTCTTAATATATTACTTAGTTCTCAGCCCTATAACTAGTAGACCTTAACGGAGATATCTTCTACTATATTATATCTTCTTTTCATCTATATAATTCGATAGTCTTATTATTCTCATTCTATCTTACTTATATTAATATCGTATCTATACTAGTTCTAATATTATAATAAAACTTCTTTATATCCCCTAACGAAGAGAAATGTAATTCGAATATACTCTATTCGAATTAGCGGATAAATTTAAAGAAATGCGTTAGTAGAGACTTTAATATTATTATATTTTTAGATAAGCTTACTAGATAAGTAACTCGATTTTATAGTAAATTAAACTCGATAAATAGTAATTAAGAGATAAATAAAGTATTAGACTATTCGTACGACTAGCGAATCGAAAAAAATAGTTAATACTATCTTATAAATATTTCTTTATATTATAATAAGTCTACTATAATAGCGATAGAAATAGCTCTAAAATAATTACGATTCGATCTCTTTACTAAGTATATCGATAATATATATAATAAGTCTACTATTAAATAATATTCACTATATTTAATTCTTTCTCTATCTTTCTATAGACCTACGAATCGATAAGTACGTTAAGATAAAAAATGAAATAAAGAATAAATTTTTAATAATAAGAGTATAGGAGATATAGGGTAAATCTATAGTGAAGCTCCTAGGCCAGACTATTAACTGATATTAAGAGGGTTTTATAACACATATATACGTTAGATTTTCTTTAATTCTATCGAAGGATTATAGCAAGAAGACTAGTTAAGAAGAAGAACTCGAAGAATCTCGCTAGCACGCAGATAAGATATAATAAATATCTTTAGAATCTCTAAGGGATAATATGGGCATGGTATAGTCAAGACTAATGCGATCCGGCAAAAATCGTCAAAACTCGAATTTCGACTATTACCGCTATACCTCGATAAATCTTCTCCAATCAAGGCCTATAGGGACTATGAATATTTAAAGAAATAGGATAAGCAATGGGCGTGCATCTCCGGTCTACCAGCCATGGGGGCTATGGCTATTTGAGAGAGAGGATAGTGTTATAAGCGTACCCTTAATATACCACTCAGCCCTCAGCCCTATAGCTAGTGGGCCTTGGCGGAGGTATCCCCTACTATATTATGTCTTCTTCCCACCTATATAGTTCGGTAGCCTTATTATCCTCGTTCTATCTCACTTATACTAATATCGTATCTATGCTAGTTCTAATAGAATTAAATTAAGATAAGATTTTCTTAATAAAATAATAAGAGTATTCTATTATTCTCGCTAAGTATATTAATTAAACTAATTTAAAATTATTATTCTTATATTAGTCTTACGAGTTTAGATTTATAAATTAAATTTATAATCTATTTTTTTTAATTAAAACTATCGAGTAGATTTAATAAGCGAACTTTAATAAGCGATAAAAAAAATTATTTTTAAATGATTATAAGATTAAATTTCAATTTTTTTAAAATAATTAAAACGTGCGATTTACGTTCTATAATTTAAAAGAAAAATCGAAAGATTTTAATAGAAAATAAAAAAGTTATTTTAAATTTAAATAACGTATATCTATTTTTTTTAATAAGAGCTATCGACTATCGAGTAAATTTAATAAGCGAACTTTAATAAGCGATATTTAAATTCAATGTCTTTAAAGAATTATAAGATTAAATTTCAAAATTCTATCTTTATTAAAAAGCGTAAGCTACGAACTATAATTTAAAAAAAGTTAATAAATTTTAATAGAAAATTACAAAGCTATTAAATAATTAAATAATTAAAAGTAGAAAAAGAATATTTTAATAATTACGAACGTTAATTTATTTATTCGCGATATTTAATTAAAAAGTATAGATCTATTAAATTTATAACTAGCTATATATATATAAACTTAAAAATTTCTAACTTAGCTTTATCTTATTCTTTTATATATATTAATAATATCTTTATAAAATTCTTTAAATATAATTAATATATCTTCTAATTATCTTTTTAGATATTAATATTTTATACTCTAATTTAGATTATAATATTCTATTTTATATTCTATTTTATTATAGTTTTTAATATTATAATAATATATAATATTAAAATTTAAAGAAATCGCTTAGAGATGTTTAAAGTTTATCGAAATAATAAAGTATACTTCGAAATCTCGCTTTCGAATCGAGGCGAGATCGAGATTTTAAGAAAGCTCGAAATCTTATTATAAAACCTCACCTCGACCTTAACTGTTACGTTTTTAGTTACGTTCCTAGCGTAACTTGGCATGTAGCTTTCTTTAGCTTTTTCTTCGATAGCTATGAAGAATTAATCAACTCATACCATTCAAAGAAACACCTTTCTTCATGCTTTGTAACTGCTTTCATCAATTCAAGAATACACTTACTTCCTTCCCACCGTAACCCTGATAGATTGGGCACAAATTTTTGATAAACTTACTCTTAAGATACCTTGGACAAGGCGTGAGATTTCCGATACAGGCTGACCAATACCGACCGACTACGGAGTACGCGACCCACACTCTCGGTGGGGTTCTGGAAAGTCACTTAGGGGGCGAGAAGACCAAGACACCGAGCCAATTGGTGCCGGACGCAATGCAAGATATTGCCAGTGCCTCAGAAATGGCTTGATCTGCAGAGGCAAATGCGGCGAATCAGTTAAGATCTACCCCACTATTGGAGTTGAGATAGCGGCGTGTGCGGGGATGGACGCAAGGCCATGCGTGTCGGAACCGGCAGGAGGTGAATTTGGTGAATTTGGTGGATGACGGCGAGAAGTCTTGATTTGCATGGAACACAAAAAGTCCCCGAGAAAATCAAAACACTCAAATACAGACCCGAGCTATGCGACCACGTGCTTGCAGAAGTAAACCTTCACAAATAGGCGATTTTGTGCGAATGGCTCGATCTCCCCAATAGGTACAAGTAAACGTACCTAGCTGCTCATGAATAATACGCCAACCGAAACAGGTCAACGCGAAGGAGATCCCTCGCACCTTTAACTATTCAAAGTAGTCGGATCCGTTTTCAAAAATGCCTTGAAAAAACGGCAACTTTGGCATGCATCAAGGAAAATGCCTCACACCATTTGCATGTGTCCGGAGACTAACAGATGTCCCTGAGGATTTACTCGCCAAAAATGAAGTGGTGTAAGTGTGGCATGGCAGTCGATAGCGAATCCGGACCTTTAACGTCATCCTCCACAGATGGCCCTTATTTCCTCTCTGCTCCTGGAACCTATCTTGCTTGTTCAACTTCTCCCCATCAAAACATCGGCGAGTTGTGCTCATAGAGATCCGTCAAGATGATGAAAGCGGTCCGATTCCATGGCCAGAGGGACATTCGACTGGATGACGTGGAAATTGTGCAATGCGGTAAAGGCCAAGTCAAGGTGGGCGCCTTCCCAATATTCGAATCTGCCAAAATCTTGGTACTAAGCGTAGTCTGTCAGGTTAAACCGGCTTTCGCGGGTATATGTGGAAGCGGTAATGCTGCCGCCCCGTTCCTCGTAGTATGATAAGGCTGACAGCATGGTTCCAGATTTGCATGAATACCTTGGAGGTGCAAGTCTGATGCCAACGAGTCCTCATCCCATCACAAACGAGAAGGTACCTTTGACCCTGGGACACGAGTTCAGTGGGACAATTGAGGAGGTAGGTGAAGGTGTCCATGACATCAAAGTGGGATCGAGGGTCGCTGTTCAGCCAATCATCTACGACGGCACATGTAATGCGTGTAAAGAGGGATACATCAACTGCTGTGATAACAATGGCTTCGTAGGTTTAAGCGGTAAGGCTTCTCAGTTCATATTTGACTCTATACTAAAAGAAAGTTCGTAGGATGGGGTGGTGGACTCTCGGAGCATGTAGTCGTTCCTCGAAAAGCCGTGTACGAGATTCCAGATAGCGTCTCGATGGATGTCGCTGGTAAGGCGCTCAATCCCAGTTGGTTGAGGATCGGCTAATTCTTGGACTCAGCACTTATTGAGCCGTTGTCTGTGGCATGGCATGCTGTTAACACAAGTCCTTTCAAGACAGGCGATTCGGTTCTAATCCTTGGTGGCGGGCCAATTGGGCTCGCAGTAATTCAGATGCTTGTGGTCAAGGGTGCCGAAAAGATCATCGTCTCAGAAGTCGCATCTCGCCGTCGGGAGTTTGCGAGACAGTTTGGCGCTCACTACGTCCTGGATCCCACCAAAGACGATATCGTCTCGAGGGTTCGCGATCTTTGCGATGGCTCGGGCGTGAACGTAGCCTTCGATGCTGCGGGAGTACAAGCTGGTCTTGACCAGGCCGTACAGGCTATCCGCGCTAGAGGTACTCTGGTCAATATCGCAATCTGGGAAAAACAAGCCACTATCACGCCGAACTGGTTCTGCTTTAGGGAGAGAAAGTATATGGGCGTTGCAACGTATCAGGACGGGGATTTCCAGGACGTGATCGATGCAATTGCCTCTGGTAAGTCTTCAGACTGCACAAGCGTGTCAAAATTCTCTAATACAAAACAACATAGGGAAGCTCAACCCGGGGCCGATGATAACAGGCAAGATTCGCATGGATGAAGTCGAAGAAAAGGGTTTCAAGGCACTTGTCAATGATAAAGATAACCATATCAAGATTCTCATTGACATTGGCCTGGGAGTACCCCGAGACTAGAAGTACGAACGATGGCAGTCCAATATCCTGAGAGTGTCATGCCAAATGAGACGTATGATGAGGTATGAGAAATAATATTTTTTCACTAGCTCAATGGTCCACTCAGAAGCCAGGCGAGAGTTCGCCCATATGTTTCGATCTGTAACCAAGGAAATTCATTTGCGTCCAGGCAACGCTTAAGCATCATATCTTCGTGTCACACTTGATAGAACTTCCCCAATACAAAACGCTCTTGAGAGAGTTGGTCCGGAGACGTCAAGACAGGTATCATCGCTGCGGTGCGCGCCCCACAGCTTGCGTCTCGCAACAAATCCCAATGCCCACATGCCATGCATCCAATCCAACCTATCCCAGCTACCAAGTAACTCCACTGCCCCTAGAGGAAGTCTCTATTTCCGAAACCCCTTTCTACGTCTCCCAGATCTAAACTTCTCTGACTTCCATCTGCACTCGTTCCACCAACATCAATTCTTGTGGTTTTCTTGATTCCCTGATCTGCAGGTTTTATGTCTCCTGGCAAGGAGTTCATCGCAAACCCGTCCACGCCAGCTCCATACTCCTGAGCACGATCTGCTTCCGCTGAGACCGCTTGCGCCGCCGCTCCCAAGGCAGGATCGTACGAAGCTTGTGGAGGGGCAATGTGCTGAGCGTTGGCTTCTCGATTTGCGGGGGGTGGGAAGGATGGCGTGAGTCGACGAGGGCGAAGTCGCTGCTTTTACGTGGGGAGCGATGAGAGAGGTAAGAGCTGATGCCAGCAGAAACAGTTCTGTACCCAGGGCGTAGGGCGGGTATGCAAGCCGCGACGATGCCAATGCAGACTTCCCAGGAGCGCCAGTACCAATTGTTGACACTTTCCCAGGTTGGATCTGAGTTGACATTCTGCCAGTTCAGGACTGTACGGACTATGCAACATGCTGCGGTGCTATTTGAGCGAACAAGGTCAGTGAGGAATCTCGATAGCGGCCAAAAAAAGTGGGGGCGTACATAAGACCAACAGCCATCAAAGTACACAAACCGGCTTTGAGGCGCGGCGCTATCTGAACATTCCATAAAAGAACAATGGGGAAGAGGGCAAGCATGAAATCGGATATGATCGAGATGAGGGCTTGAGAGATGATAATTCTTTGTAACTGGCCGTCGGTAAAGCATGAACCTGGAGTCTGCTTGTTCCATACACTGGCAATCGGATTACATTGGAAAATCCATAGCAAGGTGAGGACGATGTTGCTGATAATGAGAGCGACTGTAGCCCCTTGAATGGGTCGTATCAGGTGCTTTTCCACTGGAATTCGTAAGAGGAAAAAGCAGATGGATATTTTGGTGAACATCAAGGTCTGGAAAGTCTGGATCCATTCTCCGTAGGAGTATTTCATAAACTCAATTAATTGCCAATGTGTGAGGGCGACATTGTGTCTTCCAAAACCATAGTGAACTTCTACGATGACGAGACCAGAGCCGATAATCTTACCGAATGCTGCGAAAAGAATGGTATAGTCGTCCCAGCCGACATTGCGGACAATCCATATCCGAGTCGCTAATCGCAGAGCTACAGTCATGGATGCCAGGAACGTGGTGATGACTTCTGATGCAATGATTCCTCCTCCATGATTGTCATCTCTGTCGTGCAGCGAGAGTCCTGAGCCACTCATGTTGCAAGGATACTGGCGCAACTCCTGGAACTGATCGAAAGACAATTTGCAGATGCTGATTTCTTCTCACCACACAAAACCTATACAGAATCTCAGGTAAGGCTGACGGTGTCTTGGGTGACATGGCGTTGGGTAGGGTAGAGCTCGATATATATAGTGAATATGCCTCGCAACTGTCAAGCTCCTTCACTTTGGTATCAGGTGCTTGGGTTCCCAGCCTCGCCTTCTTATGTAGATGGTACGTTTAGAGCAAAGCCGTATCTTGCACCTGCAAATGCGACTTGGCAGCAGACATCTCTCTAAGTAGCAACGCCGTCATTGGGTACTGTGACTGGGATCGCCATCCTGTGTGACATTCCGCAACACCCTCCGAAAAAAAGGCGGGGCGTCGCAGTCCTTGATACGTGCAGAATTAGTGAGAGTAATAAGCATTATAAAGCATTATGAAATCAAGGGAACTAGCATTGTGACACTCCGGCAAGGCTACCGCCAGCCATATGGAGTGTATGGTTCTAATAGAGCAGCACATAGACCTAAGATCAACGACATGCGAAAGGCACAGCTTGCGGGAGCTGAAATATAGCTTACACCGAGCTGAACGTTGCATACTGACACTTATCCAGTTCTCCCCATCATGTGAAGTATGCTGTGTTAGGAGTCAGCTGGATGACGTTGCGACGCTGCCGATTACATTGTCAGCATCCGCATTGGTAGATTGATCTTCGCTTTAGTAAAGCGTACTGTCAGAGAGATCATGATCTCCGGAAGGATTCCCAATCGGAGAATTCTTTCTTGGTCGCATACATCAAAGTTATGCACAATTTGGCATCAGAACACCATCGTTTACAGTCTTTCAATGCCATGGCATCTTATGATTGGGGTTGCAGCTCCGTTTTGCTCCATGACAAGGGTCAATTTCGCTGACAATGGAATGATCTACAGCGATACAACTTAGAACCTGGAGATAGATCAATTTTGTTCCAGCAAGCTTGAAAGTGAGCAGAAAAGGCAGCTACTGCGGACTTTTCGATCTTTCTCCCCAATCACATACCTTCAGTATCTTATAGTACTGGTGGGTCCGCAGTCCACCTCTCTCCGGAAAAAAGTTGAGCGCGGGTGTATTTACCCTGAACGTAGGCGACTCAGCAGGAGTGGGGGGTGGACGGAATGATATAAACTTAAGATTAATACGTGCTGGGGCGTGAGGCTACCCAGTAGTGGGAAGCTTGCTAAATACTGGTTTTTAACTATTTTTAATTCTTAGAGAGGCTCTCTAAAACCCCTTAAACCCTTCGAAGACTCTTTAAAAATTCTTCGAAAACTTCTATCGAAGGGGTTATTTAAGTAAACTCGAAATTTAATTATTAGTATATATAATAGAATAAGATAGAGCTAAATTAGAAAATCTTAAATTTATATATATAGCTAATTATTAATTTATTAGATCTACACTTTTTAATTAGATATCGCGAATAAATAAATTAATATTCGTAATTATTAAAAAAATAGATATATATTATTAATATATAGAAAAACTTTTTTATTTTTTATTAACTTTTTAAGATTTTAAATTTTAAATTTTAAAGCGTAGTTTACACTTTTCGAATTTTTAAGAATTTTAAAATTTGGTCTGATAATTATTAAAGCGTAAGAAATTTAAATATTATTTATTAGAGTTCGCTCGATAGCTAGATAACTCTAATTAAAAAAAAAAGATATATATTATTTAATTTTAGAATAACTTTTTTATTTTCTATTAAAATTTTAAAATTTCTTATTTAAATTATAAAGTATAATATAGGTTTTTAGATAAAAAAAGAATTACTAAATTTAGTTTTATAGATATTTAAAGGTAAGAAATTTAAATATCGCTTATTAAAGATCGCTTATTAAAAAATACTTAATAATCTTAATTAAAAAAATAATTATAAATTTAATTTATAGATCTTTACTCGTAATATTATACTATAATATAGTATATATATAAGATATTTTAATTAAAATTTCTATATTTATAGAATAATTCGACTAAGATAGATAGAATATATTTATTCTTCTTTATTAAGAGAGAGAAAATATAAAGAGTAATTTAATATAGCTATTTATCTTCTTATTAATAATAATAATTAGAATAATAATTAAAGCTATAAGCATTTTTATTATTCTTTTTAAAATTATAATATAAAAGAACGAGTAAAGGTCTATAAATTAAATTTATAATTATTTTCTTTAATCGAGACTATCGAGTAAATTTTAGTAAGCGATCTTTAGTAAGTAATATCTAAATTCCTTATCTTTAAATATCTATAAGATTAAATTTAGTAATTCTTTTTTTATCTAAAAGCCTATTTTATACTCTATAATTTAAATAAAAGATTTTAAAATTTAATAGAAAATAAAAAAGTTATTCTAAAATTAAATAATATATATCTATTTTTTTTTAATTAGGGCTATCCAGCTGTTAAGCGAACTCTGATAAGCGATATTTGAATTTCTTACGCTTTAATAGTTATAAGATTAAATTTTAAAATTCTTAAAAATTCGAAAAGCGTAGATCGGCGCTCTAAAATTTAAAATTTAAAATCTCAAAAAGATAATAGAAAATAAAAAAGTTTTTCTATATGTTAATAATATATATCTATTTTTTTAATAATTATAAACGCTAATTTATTTATTCGCGATATTTAATTAAAAAGCGTAGATCTAATAAATTAATAATTAATTATATATATAAATTTAAGATTTTCTAATTTAGCTCTATCTTATTCTATTATATATACTAATATTCTAAATTTTAAATCTTAAAATATTATAAAAATAAAATTCTATAATTATCTTTATTTATATATTTATTTTAACGCGTTAGATAAGCTTAATAAACTTTATATTTATTCTTCTTTTAAACTCTTTATCTCTCTTCTATTTCACTTTATCGCGATTCTTTTAAATATTTTAAATTTATCTCTATTTAATTAAACTTATTAACTATTTATAAATAAATTTACTTTTTAAATTACTTTAAATCTCTTTATTAAGATTAAATTTATTATTATTAACTCTCTTTAATTATAAATTTATTAATTATTTCTTTATTAGTATATATAAAAGAATAAGATAGAGTTAAGCTTAAAAATCTTAAATTTATATATATAGTTAATTATAAATTTAGAATTATTACGCTCTTTAATTAGATCGACTAAATTATCGCGAATAAATAAATTAGTATTCGTAATTATTAAAAAAATATAGTCGAATAGCTCTAATTAAAAAATAGATATATATTATTTAATTTTAGAATAACTTTTTTATTTTCTATTAAAATTTTAAGATTTTTTTTAAATTATAGAATAAAATATAAGCTTTTAAATAAAAAAAGAATTCTTATATTTAATCTTATAATTATTAAAGCGCAAGAAATTCAAAATATCGCTTATTAAAGTTTACTCACAGATATAGATTATATGATTTTAGAATAACTTTTTTATTTTCTATTAAAATTTTAAGTTTTCTATTTTCAATTATAGAATAAAATATAAGCTTTTAGATAAAAAAAGAATTTCTAAATTTAGTCTTATAATTATTAAAGCGCAAGGAATTCAAATATCGCTTATTAAAGTTCGCTTATTAAAGATCGCTTATCTATTTACTCGATAGCTCTAATTAAAAAAAAATTATAAATTTAATTCATAGATCTTTACTCGTATATTATAAAATATTAATAATATATCTTAATAAATTTATCAATATTAAACTTATTAAAATACTTTTTATAAGCTTATTATCTTTATTAATATAATTATTATAATTATTAATTAAGTTTTTATATAAAGTATTATTAGCTTTTTTAATCTAATTCGATATATTAAAATCTTCTTTAAAATTAAATCTAATCTATTTAAATTTATTTTCTTAATATTTTATATAAAGAATTATTATTAAAATATAAAATATTATTAATAAATAATACTTTTAAGTATTATAATATCTTTTAATTATTAAAAAATATCGTTTATATATAATAATCTTTATAAGAGAATAAAGAATATTATAAGCTATTTAAGCGATTATAATATATTTAAACTTTAATTTCTTTTATTATTTTAGAATTAAAAAAAGTTTTATAAAGATTAGAAATAAGATTATAATTAGAATAATAATTAGAAAATTTATTATTTCTTTTATACTACTAAAACTAATTATATTTATTCTTATTATCTAAATTTTTAATCTCGAATTTTATTATTTAATTAAGCGTATTTTTATTTAATTAAATTATTTACTTAGCTCTTTATAATTAATTATTTATATTAATATCTTAATAATTTTAAAATATTCTTTTAAGCGCTTTTTAATAAATTTTTACTTATAATTAATTTTTAATATTAATCTTTTAATTTAATTTCTTTAACTTTATATTATTATAATTTAAATATAAAAGTATAATTTATTTATATAAATAGTCTAAATCTAATTAAATTCGATTATAATAGATAATTAATTTTTTATAAATCGTTTTAAGAGCTTTAAAAGGTTTTTTTTTAAAGAATTCTCTTTTTTCTTAATTTTTCGAGCTTTTTATTTATATAATTAAATAAATAATTATAAATATTAAAAATATAATAAATTATAACCTTCTTTTCTCTATTTATTAATTTTATAAATTTATAAAAAAAATTAATAAGCTAAATTAAATATTAAATTTATTAGAAATTAATCGAAAATTATTTAGATATCTAGATTCTAGATTATAATTTCTACTTATAATTATTTTTTAAAAAATATATAATATTAATATAAAGAAGTAGAGCGCGAATTAATATCTAATAAATTAAATTTTAATAAGTCTTAATATTCTAAAAGAGTTTAAAAAGATATTTTTAATAATATTACTCTTTTTTAAAAGATTAATATTTATCTAATATTAAAATATTCTTATTTTAAAGATATTCAATTTATAATATAAAAAAATCTTTTTATATTAATCGCGAGCCTTTAAATAT